GCAGGTGGTCCTCCATCTATAGAAAGATTTGAACCATTTCTACCCTTCTATGCATCCCCTAGAATTCCTAGCCACAGGGTTTACTCTTGATGCCTCCAAAAATAAAAGGTGACACAATGACAATTTGAGGAGGAAAGTGAAGTGAAGTCATTATTTTTTTCCTGTATCAATAGCATGAAGGCTCTGAGGTTTTGGGAGAAAATCAGCAAAATGTACAACAGAGATGAAAAAAATTGCTCAGGACACAACACAGAAAAAAAAGTAGGGGTAAGCACACCGTACCAGCTCCTTAGCACTTGACACATGCTACATTTTCTCTTGCAACCCTTACAATACTGCTGTAAAGTAGATGCTGTTCCGTCCCCATTTAGAAGGGAGGGGACCCTGAGGCCCAGGAAGGTTAAGTGACTTGCCCAAATTCATACACCTACTAAGAGATGAAGCTGTAATTTCAACCCAGAGAGTTGGCTCTCTCTAGTTTTGCCTTTTAACAAGTGTGCTATGTTCCTGTAGAGAAAATGGAAATCACAAAAGGGGAGTTGCATAGAGGTTAAATTTGTCCCCAAATAAATCTTAGAGCAAAATAAAGAAAAAAATATTTTTGAGAAATGATGGCTGAGAATTTTCCAGGATTGATGAAACGCATCAGTCATCAGATTCAGTAAGGTCAAAAATGCATAAGTGGAATGAATAAAAAGAAATCATACCCGGATTCAGCATAGCAAAGCTGTAGACTCCTAAAGAAGAAGAGATGCTAATAATAAAGGCTGCCCATTACAAAGACAGATCACTAAAAAGAAATCATTTGCAGAGAGATCATTTGCCTTCTTAAAAGCAGCATGCAGGCCAGGAGGCAGTGGAATGGTATCTTTAAAGCAAGGAAAATGGAAGGATAATAAAACCAGTCTGCTCTTATTAGAGGAAGATGTAGATGACATATGAAGAAAGAAGGGAAGTTATACACAAAGAAAAAAGATCTTTTGGGGGGGAGGGTACCAGGGATTGAACTCAGGGGCACTTGACCACTGAGCCACATCCCCAGCCCTATTTTGTATTTTATTGAGAGACAGGGTCTCACTGAGTTACTCAGTGACGCGCCTTTGCTGAGGCTGGCTTTGAACTCAAGGATCCTCTAGTCTCTCAGCCTTCTGAGTCGCTGGGCACAAAGGAAAATTTAAGTTATAAAGAAAATAAGTTAAAGAAACTACAAATATATGGATTAATCTAAATTTATTTTATTTAAAATTAACAATAATAACATCTTCCTCATAGGATTAAAATACAATACTAAAATATTGGGCCATAGTGTTATAGATTCTAAGTTCTGTATATTACTGGGAAAGAAACTAAGACATTGTTTAACTCCAGTTTCCTTTAAATAAATTTATATAAATTTCATATTTATTTGGTAGCACTAAAAGGATAAAAATAAAATATGTATCATATAAACATTAAAATACACAAATACAAAAGAAAATGAAAAAAATTAGATTAATTCAAAAGCAAAGAAAATGAAGGATAGAAAGACGAAAGAAGGAAAGAGAGAGGAGGAAGGAAGGAAGGGAAAGAAAATGAAACCGACAAAAATGTATAAAATAGCCAAAAGTTAAAAGTTACAAATAAAAGCATATTTTATTAATAGGTAATTTGTAGACAAACTTCTATAGTTTTTCTTAAAAAGGTGATCAGACTTTTATGTCTAAATCTCAATTAGAAATCCATGCTTTAGAAGCATCTTAAATAAAAAGACTTAGAAAGCTTAATATATATGTATTATATATATATACACACACACACACATATATATATGTGTATATATATAAAACTATGCCTGGCAAGTACTAATGAAATAAATAAGTAAAGTAGCTGATGTGTCTACATTGTCATTATTATGGAATAGGCCTTAAACTACATGTGACAACCGCAGATATAGAAATAGGTATGGTCTGTTGTCAGGGAAACAGAAAACAGGTCAATAAGTGAAATAAATTGCAGGGGGAAAAAATTTTTGACCAATGTTTACTTAGCATCTGCCTATTCCTGGCCCTAATCTATGGGATTTATTTACATTCTCTCCTTTTAATACTCTGATGACACTAGGCTATGAATTACTACCTCCAGGCTGTGCGGTTGTCGAAAGCTTCCTATGTGCCCGAGCAGGAAATTGAGTGCAATTTTGTCAAGCCAGAAAATTTGCCACACAAAAACTCAGAGCCTTAAAGATCTCTGTATAGAATTCAGGATACTCCGTTTAAATTTAAAATATAGACAAGCAACAAATAATTATTATTCTGCAAGTATCCCATGCAATGTTTGAAACATACTCATTTTAAACATTATTTAACATTTATCTGAAGTTCAAATTTCACTGGAAGTCCTTTTGTCTTATTTTTAAATCTGGCACTGAGCAGGGGGTGAAATAGAGAGAGGACAGAGCTGAGCTGAGATATAATGATGCTTCTGAAAGATCTCCGCTTGGGTCAAGAAGCAAGTCCCTCCTCCATGCCTCTCTCAACAAAGCACTCAAGTAGAAATATATACACACATGTACATGTATATGCATTTATGTACAAAATTTATGTATACACAACCATTTTCCTATGATTGTTTATTTATATTTATTATTACTATTATTTAATATTACTAATATGTCATAAATTAAGGTTTTAGAGAAGGAAAGAGACATAGCAAAATATTCATACATTCCTTCTTCCATATTCCATTTGCAGCATTAGAAGACTTGTTTATCCTTTTTAAACCACAGTGAATAACAAGCTTTACTGCTCTTAAGTTTGCAAACGGGACTCCAGGAGTATATTCACTATAACATTGTCCCACCACAATGACAGTTCCATGTACCATCAGGTCTCTATTTGCTTTGCAGCATAAACCTAGGACACAAATTCTGTCTGGACTGGAAGTGTAAAGCAATCCAGGCTGAGGTTAATCAGAGATTTGCTGGAGCAAGTGAGGCTTAAACTAAGCTTAATGATAGGAGAAAAAGATGAGCTGGCTTTCCTATAACAGAGTATTTTACCTTAATGTCAATATCAAAGATCTGAAGATCTGGCTTCAAATCCCATCTTAAGTAGATAATGTAAGATTGTTGGAGTAAGTTCTGCATTGAATTTGTTTAATTTGGATTTAATTTAATGTTTTTAATTTCTGCATCATTTTGTTTAATTTGCATGAAAAATATCATTGGGAAATATTCAACTCTAAATCCTAAAAATATACACTTGTACTGGTTCTCCACGTCTGAAGAATGGGGAGATTCTAACTGAAAATTCCTTTTGACTAAGAGAAGTAGCAGAGCATGTGTCAGAGTGTTTGAGTGAACTTCTCCCAGGACATACGTCACTTGAGGGCAGAAGGGGAGACAATCTGTCCTGGTGATGGCAGGTGCTCTTTGCATTCAGTTGGGACATTATGTTTTGCTTGGTGAAAGTGGTATCTGTAAAAAGGGAGTGGTCCTGCTGAGGCCCTGCAGACCATGAGCCTCAAGAGCTCCAGTTTTGAATTTCAACCTCAACTATTACCCTCTTGTCCTAATTTTTCAAAAAGTTAAGATGTAACAAAATATACTCTGCACTAAATTTATTCTGAGCACGTAATCTCACTTTGATGGTTCAGAAGGCAATCCAAGGATCTTATGCCCTTAGACCATCCACAGATTCTGTCATTTATTAAAATTGAGGTCTAGAGAGTAGTGGAAAGGATGTGGGGCTTAACTCACAATATCTGAAAAACTGAGAGCAAGTTGCTCAACCTCTTAGAGCCTCGGTTTCACTAACAAGATTTGTCCTTTAAGGAATAATGAAAAGAAGGGGCACAGAAACACAGAATAACCATCAGATAGGCATTTTAGCTCCCCTGGCCACTCTTCAGAGCCTGAGAAGCAAATGGCATGAGGCACCATCCTGATTTTCTGCCATGTTTAGAAACAAGCCATTTATCTAAAATAAATAAATTGAGGCTTGAATAAATAAAAGCCTGTAAGATTTATATTTACTCACATTTATTATTCATATTCATAATTTACACATATTTAATTATTCAAAGCATCTTTTAAATATGTAAAATACCGTTCTAAAAACATCCCTCTTGATTTGGAATTTCTGGTTACTTAAAATCTAGATCAAGAGTTTGCAAACTGCAACCCAAGACCACATCACATCTGCCACCTGATTTTGTAAATAAGGTTTTGTTGGAACACAACCACACCCTTTCATTTATATATGATCTATGGCTGCTTTCTTGCGACTTGGGCAGTTGAGTAGTTGTGACTCTTCACAGAAAACAATCCTCAGTCCTTGGCTCTAGATCTAATTATTTTTTCTGGTTGTTAAGTAAAGTCAAAGGCAAGCCATTGCTAGTGAGAGGTGGGAATTCATCCATGTGCTCAAATGGTGTTAAAAGTACAGCTCCACAGGGCATCGGCTAGAAGATTTTGTTGCTAAAGTCAACTAGATCTGGCTTCAAATCCCACCTTATGTAGATTATATACTTGTGAGACTGTTGGGAGGATCAAAGCTTAGCTTGATCGATGCACTAACAGCTCAATAAATGTTTAATCTCTCCACTTTTCTCTACCTCTAAAATTTTAAGTAAATAGCTGCTTTTTCCCTACACTCTGGTCCAGTCCAGCTGTATGGAAAGCTCAGGTAAGGTCAGTCTGAGCCCATGATAAAATGAGCTCAAACAAGGCCATAGCATACTTTTATCTTAAGCACAGACAAAAAAATGACATCACTGGACATCCATAAAAGACCAAATATCTCCTTTCTTGGTCAAAAGCAGTGATTGCCATTTCTTTACCCGGTCATAAAAACGTCTCTGCTTTCTGACATCATCCAATACAGAGTGAATGCTTACTTTTCTAACTCACCCAGCTGAAAACACAATTCTGTAGTAGATTGTTTCTATCCTGCCAACCCCCCTGCCCCATGGCTTCCCATAGTGTGTGTTCTCCCTTCTTGCAATGAAGAATAAACCCTTACCTGTTCAGTTACTGGTGTCCCTGTGGTCTTTAACTGAAAATTGTTGATGGACAGAAAAGTGAGATAGGATGTTTCAGTTTGATTACATTTGCAGGTGTCAAAACATCTAACTGTACACTGGTGGTAGGAAAGAAGGGAAATAATGATTAATAATTCCATATTCTAGGCATGTTTCACACATTTTTCCTTTTGGTCATCACAATTGTCACAAGTTGGATATCACTGTGTCCACAGGAAGCAGAGGTTTGATGAAATTGGCCAAGCCACATTATCTGGGACATGACAGATATTTTTGTTTCTTTGAAGTTTACAAGAGCAGAGAGAATCACTACTGGTTCTTGTTGTTTTGTTTTAAGAAAGAAAGGACAGGCAACACAGAGTACAGGGACTGGCCTTGTCTCCTGTGACTCCTGTGTCTTCTGGTGTACTGCACACTGTTGGGCACTAGGACCAGAACATGAAGATTGTCTCTCTGAACATCTTAGAAACTTGTCTAGTCCTCCTTATCTTAAACATAAAACCTCAGAACAGCTATTAATTATATCTTTGGTAATAGCACTTATTACGAAGGGTTTAAAAAATGGGATGAGAGAGAACCATCCACCTAACGACCAGCTTTGGTAACCCCTGAGGAAACAGTCAAGCCACTGATGCCCAGAGGCTCATTTCAGACCACTTTGTGGTAATCCATGGAAAGACTCTGAAATGGGTGTTGATAACAAGTAGCTCAGGTGATTTTGATACAAACGTATGTTAAGAATGCTACCATGACACATCTGACTGTCTGATTCCTTGTTGTTTACTCAGAGTTCATTCATAGTTCCAGACACAGAGTCATTATCTCCAGCTACTCTGTTTGCTGACCTCCCACCTCACTGAACTATGACAGCACTCAGGGACTGCATTGGGCAACTCATGCCTGTGTATGGGGCTGCTAGGGAAAACTCTAGACTTGGAGTCACAATTCACTTTCCTGATCTGCAAGACCAGCCAGGTGACCATCAGCCTTGATCTCATTTGTAATGTAAAGGGAAAAGGGTCTCAAAGCTGGTCTGGGTCAGAGCTGTACAGTGTAATTCAACTCAGCAACACTTTCTTATGGAAGCAATTTACATTCTTGATAAAAGGCTTTACATTTCTTCCCCATAAACTTTTATGGTATTAAGACCTATTCTAGAAAACTAGCTACAAACAAGCTACACACTCATTCCTTTGGCTAATGGTATTTATTCTATATTCTTCATATTTTTGCTAACCAAGTTTATGCTAACAAATGTCAATCTGACAAAGATAATCTAACCACTTTGCTTTTCTATAAATGTCTTTGCCAAGGGCAAAGATTTGAATTGGCCCGTTTCAGATCTTTTTCATCGAAGAAAATTGAACACTAAACTTGAATGTTCTCTTATTTAAATTTTTTGGGGAACAAAGGTAAACAAGAATTACTACACCCACCTGCTCTTTATAAACCATAAAGCACTTGACAATGTATGATTTTCATGATGACACATGATCTATACATCTGTTTTACAGGCATAAATCATGTCCCTCCAATAAGATTACAGTCTCCTGAGACACATAGATTATGAATCTTTGAATCTCTCCCTTCCCACCCTGTATGTGTGTATGTGTGTGTGTATGCGTGTGTGTGTATTCACCTTAAAGAATAAAATTGATATAATAATAATCCTATTTTACTATTAAAATAAGTAATTTTTTCCTGACAACTCAATTAAAAGAAACTAAATATGTATTTGTTCACTTTGCTTCTTGGGAAGAGATCTGAAATGATCAATTCAACAATTTCTCTTGGTAGGGATGTTTATATGATAGATTATACATACATGGAACACAGATATGGGGAGGAGAGAGACAGAATGCCAGGAGAGTGAATTCAATGTGACCATTGTTTTTTCTACTTTGCATCTCACATCCAAATGTCTTCATGAAGTCACTGAATAGGACAAAGGCTGTACTCCTGAAGATACCAGCTCTCCTCTGCAAGGAGATTACAACAAGATGATAAGACCTGCACTAGAGTTATCTTTTGTGCAAGGCAGCATAGATGCAACATGTGAGTGTCATTGTACTGAATGACACAGAGAGATGTCAGCAACTCCATCTGCTCATATCAGTGGTTTTTGTGCTGGGCAGATGACTATGAGCTCCACAGAAGAAAAAGAGGTAGCTGCATTGTAGGCACTGATCATGACATTCTAAAGGACAGAATGTGCAGTGTGTTTTCAGGGGCAACAGGTTGGAGAACAGTAATAGATGATGCATGAAAAGTACATGGAGGAGCATTCTCACACTAGTTTCCAATTCTTCCAAACCAGAGGTGGCTGGAAGCCAGAATATATGAGTAATTTATTTTTCCATGTGACTTCAAGAATAGAAGCAAGAAATTTGTCTTTACACAAATCAGCAATTTATTCCAAGAACTCATTTATACAAACGACCTAACATAGTCAAATTCATAGAAACTGAAAGTCAAAAAGAGATTACCAGGAGCTTGGGGAAGGAGAGCAGTGGCTCAATACATACTTTCATTTGGGGATGCTAAAAAGTTCTGAAAATGGATGATGGTTGGAATTGCACAACAAAGTGAATGTCCTCAAGTCCCTGAACTGTATCCAAGATGTTTAAAATGGTAAACTTTGTGCACTTTCCCACAGCAATAATAAAAATTTACAGACAAAGAACTTCCTTCATGACAGATCCTCTCTAGGAAAGAAAGGTTGATTCGGGTGAGGCTTTTAATAGGGCAAATGGAAAATAAGTGCCACTTTAATATAATGGAGCTACTTCAGACCCAGAGAAGCCACATTTCTGTTTAATGGGCCTTTTTGTCAGAGATGATTTTAATACGAGCTTGATTTTTTGTTGTTTTTGTATAGTTTCTTTTTATCTTGGCACCCTCCAGCTGGGGCATCACAGGTCTGGGTGTGGACACAAAGGCAAAAAGGAGAGAGAATTTCTGACCAGGAATAGTGAGTAAGTCCCAGCAGCATGGGTCCAGGCCAGAGCTAAAGTGAGAGGTGAGGAGACTCCAGGAAAATGAAGTGCTTATATCTGTAGAAGGCATTCTCTAACTTTATGTGTTTAACTTCCTTCTACTATGCTGTAAATCTTAACAGCTGTCTTCAATCTTCAGTACAATTCAGAGGCCTGAAAACTGCAGCCCAGAGGGGCCCTTGTTTTTTTAAATAAAGTTTTTATCTGATCATAGCTATTCCTATTAATTTATGTACTTATTGTTGGTTGTTTTCGATTTTTGCACTATGATTGTGGAGCTGACTGGTTGCAACAGAGATTGTATGGTTTGTGAAACCTAAAATATACACTCTATGTTCCTCCAAGAAGCGTTTGAAAAATAGTTTGTCACAGATTTAATTAGTTGTGTTTGTGAGGAAACACAAGGGCTTTGTCCACCATTTAGAGGAAAGATGTGGGAGAGGTATACAGGTCATCAGGCAGGAGATAGAGATTGGGGAAGCAGCCAGCAATGGACACTTGCTACCCATTTGGGACCTGAAGAACCCACAAACCCTGCCCAGGGAGTTTCTGAAATCTTTGTTTAATGTACTAGGCTTCCTGTCATCACTTAAGTGAGACCTTGGACCATGAGACACATTTGTGTTATTTATCTGTGATCTCATCAATGAAGATTTTGGATTTTTGACCATATCTTGGAAGACCTCAGTCCTTAAGAAGGCCTATGAATATGTCCTCAGTACAATTGCTAAACAGGTGAGCAAAGGGTGTTATTGATTACACTGATTCCACACAGGCTCACCAGACAATTCCATCCCATAGTAAGCAGTACATTGCTATTTTCCCACAGCTTCTGAAGGGAATGGGGGAGGGGATAAGGACTCTCTTATGCAAAGAGGTGACGGGCATAACACAAGATATATACAAAGCTGTGCAGGCTTTTCATAAACATTTCCTAAAGATTTTAAATCAGAACATTTAAATCTCTCCTGAGAAGTGAAAGAACCATAAACTAGCTAGTATAGATTAAGTTACTTTTTATTTTTTTTAATGGGATTATTCTGGCATAAGAAGGGACACACATCACAGATTCTTCCCCTGCCCCACAAAGCTGAGGGAATCCCTGACCAATAGCACTCTGACTTTGGCATTGTCGATGGAGGAGACCACAGAGCTCAGTCTGAACTTCTGTATCAGGGACTGCAGTGGTGCCCTCCATTCTATTTGGTCTGACTTTTAGATTGTCGATAATAATAACAATTATAATTATAATAATCCTTCAGCCAGCAATCCTTTCTACCAGAGCTCAGGGCAGGAAGTGCTCAGATGTTAAGGTGCTGAAAGCAAATAAGAAAACTTGAGTCTCTGGTCAGTTCATCCCAGAAAGTGGGTTACCTGAAACTTTGTAGGAAAGATTTCTTTTACTCATGAGTTAAATTCAATAGATGTCACTCCTTAAAGAAAAGTGACTTAATCCCCAGGAACTTCAATCTTTAGTTAACCAAGTATTTTGAAATGATGGTTACATTCAACTTTAAAAAGAGAAGCAATCTTTGGGCTTAGCAACTACTATTTTTAAAGTATTTGGGGTTCCAGACCTTCAGCAAGTGTAGCACACAATCTCCACGATGGTGTTCTTATCTTTTCATTCATTTGTACAAATACCTATTTCAAGGATGTTTGGTACTTACTGTCCACAAAACACTACTCTAGAATACAAAGGTAGGAATGGTATGGCTCCTGCCCTTAAGCAAATCATATTTTTATGAAGAAGGTTCTGTTTGTATTAAATTTGATTATGATCCTCACAAATCATCACTAACATACAAAATAAGATGGGGAGATAAGAAAACGTGGCAAGCAATTTGGTCTACCTAATGAACTAGCCTTGAAGAAAATTTGCAAAACAATATTTCAGAAATATTTGCCTAATGATGGAATTTTCTCAAGGTTATTTGAAGGATATCACCTATTTGCACATATTCTAATCTTTTAAAAAATATTTCTGACACATTAGTCATAACATGCTACATTTCTTACAATACTAGCACAATAGTTTATACACAGTTGATACCAATGAACACTTCATAAGTAAGTTGAGTTTTAGATTTCAAAAATTGTTTTTGAAATCAGCTAGTCCTGTGGCCCTTTACCTAAATTAGATTTTGCACCATATTAAAAAAATATGATGTAATCTGTAATTTTTCCCCATTAAAACAAACCCCACTATTTACATATGCTCACACTTTTGTGTACAGTGTGAGGGGACTGGTGAATCTCCTTAAAGACATCCATGAACTGCCTTGGCATCTCATGAACTCAAGCTGATCATATCAGATCTAGTCAGTCTTTCTTTTTATAATTATTGAAAATCATTTCCAAAAACATGAGTTGGAAAATAATGGCCCATATGTCAAACCTGGCTCACTTCACCTTTTTTGTACAGTCAGTGAACTAAGAATGGTTTTCATGTTTTTAAATTGCTATGCAATACTTATATATTATCCTTGATTTTATCTCTTGGCCTGTAAAGCCTGAAGTACTATCTAGACTTTTATTGAAAAAATTTGCCAAACTTCTGACCTAGAATAGTTCGGTTTTTCTCAAATTATTCAGCCAATTACTAGAAAACAGTACTAGAATTCATACTGCCTGATTCCTCCTTCAATGGTCTCATTACTTCTACTAGTTAACTAAAATATTGATAGTTAATGGATTGATTGATTTAAACCCAATGAAAAAGAAAATAAGGAGTTGTAAAACTAGAGTGCTTAATAGCCGGACGTGATGGTGCTCAGGAGGCTGAGACAGGGATCATGGGTTCAAAGCCAGCCTCAGCCAAGAGCTAGATGCTAAGCAATTCTGTGAGACCCTGTCTCTAAATAAAATACAAAATAGGGTTGGGAATGTAGCTCAGTGGTTGAATGTCCCTGAGTTCCATCCCCAGTACCCCCAACCCACCAAAAAAAAAAAGAGAAGAAAAGAAAGGAAAAGAAAAGAAAACTGGAGTGCTTAATAAGTAATTTCTCAGATAAACAAGTATGCTTATGCGGGTGTGTAGGAAGCTGAAGTCCAGTGAATTTAGTGACTCATCAAAAATCACACTACAAAGAAGCAAAACTAAACTCTTAATTTCAGGTGGTTGCGTGTTGTTGATTTCATTTTTAAAACTTTATATTTCATTCCACATATTTGAAACACATTACTTTCTATAAATAGTAAATAATGGCATAAAGCCGTTTTATGTAAAGTAAAATTATTTGAAAGAATATTGTTCTTAATTTTTATTTAAGTGATTTTTAAAGTTATTTTCAGATCCTTTATGTCATGTAGTAACAAGAATCAAATGAGAAGAATTACAATAACTATCCACAAGCTATTTTAGAAACAGTTCTTTAGAATTTCCTAACTACCAGGATTACTATTAATTATTTCTTTCTATTGATTCGGGTTATCAGAATGATTTCAGACTACATGCAACAATATTGCCAGTTATAGAGTTAAAATATTATGATAATGAAAACAAAATTAACATATCACTTAAAAGTTAAGCATCTGAATAGTTGTATGAATACCAGGTTATCTATGATGTTTTTAGGCAAAAAAAAATTTTTGACAGTTTCTGAAACCACTTTTGTCCAAATTTAAACTAGATTGGAAGTACAGAAAATTCTTTCTTTAATGAAAGGAGTCATGGTCACAGTAAATAACCTTCCTTTTTACAGCAAGTGCTTCTGAAGATTCTGAATTAAACCAGACCCACAGCTCAGCATGCCTTCTTGAGACATCACTGTCATTCACATGTCCCTATCTCAAGTCTCCTGCACTTACCTGGAAGAGCAGTTTTCTCAGGGTGGAGTGCAGAGATGGGCTACTTGTCTGACTTCCAAATAGTATTCTTTGCTAACAGCAGGGCCACTGCAGCCCTCCCATGCTCTGCTGCATTCACAAAGGCCCTGGACAGCTCACCCAACAAAAGGAAGCTGAAGTGTTCCAAGTTCCTCAGGGTGTCAACAGACTGCAAAACCTCAAAACCATTTCAAGCACACTAGCATTGAAAAACCAAGCTCTTAAAGATGAACAGTCCAAGTTGCAAAATGACAGGAAGGCTGACTGTCCTGAAATATTTATTAAGGGTGGGGTGTTTCTTATTATTTGTCAGATGTTGTTTATTTTATTTGAGCTAAGCTTTGTAGAGAATGAAGGTGGAAAAAAGATAATAATTAGCAATAATTTAGCAAGTTAGTAATATTAGCAAACACAAAAGTAGGAGATAAACTGTGTATTGTGTTTAGGGTAAAAGAATATATATACATATATATGCATATGCATATATGTACATTTACATATTTATAATATGTATACACATATACTATATATATTTGTGGGTATCTATCTATCTATAGATCATTATATATAGATAGCTGGATATACACACAGAAATATATATGCAATATATATCCATATCTATGTATATGAAATTTACAGAATCATTTTGTATCCCTGTGGCTTCTCCTCATAATTTTGGTGGTTATATCCTGTATTGATTTTATTAACAATAGCCTTAAGATATGATACTATAATCATCTCATTTAATTATAATTAAGAGCAGGGACATTTAAAACCAGAGTGTATTAGAGTGTCAGGAGAGGGGAGTGCATTTGTCCACAGCCTCACTTTTAACATTTAACATAATCTCCAAAAAAAAAAATAAAACCAAAAACCACACACACAGTCATAAAGATACACTGAAAGTATTGAAAGAAAAGTATGTCTGTCAAATAGCTCTAATTTGCCTTCCAATCTATGTCAATGACATAAATTAATACTTTATAAATATTATAATGATTTTGTTGAACATCTCTGCATTTTTAAAAAGAAAATGGAGGCAAAAAATTGGCACTGGCCTTAGGTTCTGTCTATTTAAGGGCTCCATTTAGAATTATAATTTTGGTAATTTCTGATTATTTTTGAACTTCTTTACAGTGCTGGGACATAATATTTTGGGCCAACATTGTGCAATTCATTTTTGGTCAACGTTCACATTTTTCATTCAGCAGATATGCACTCTTACTATTATGTGAGTGAAAGTCTTATATGATTCAAAAATAAGTCATGCTTGAGGGATTTCAAATTTCAGTATTTGTAGAAAAGATTCTTGCGGATAAATCCTCCTACCGAGAACAGCTAAAAGAAATTGAGTGAAATAAAAAATCTATTGGTTTGAAGGCTTTAGAAAGCTCCCCAGGCAGTTAGACCTTGAAGAAATAAAATCCTCAGGAGAAAGGAAGTTCATATAGGTGAATCTGGTTGTCAACTCTTCTTTTTTACCAAAGTCCAGCTAATTTGCAACTGGATATCTCGAAATGGAGCAGAAAGGGATGGCCGAGATGCTCAGAAGCGAGGAATATCTAGTTAAGGGGAAAATGAGAGAAAACGAAGGAAATGGTGCTCTTATAATTATCTCAGTTTTTTATTTGGAATTATGAAAGGTCTTGGAACTAAAAAGGTTTCACCATAAAATGGAAGCCCAATTTCTATTGAATTAAATAAGGTAAGTAAGTGATCCCTGCATAGATCAAAGAAATTTCACCATCATAACAGCCTCACCAGCCCATTTGGAGCATGATACCAACACCTAGATCAGCCAACTGGCTCTCAAACTCTTTATGCACAGTGTTCAAATTTCAGCTGTTATTAGCAGGCATGCCAGAAGATAAGACCAAATAACCAAAACCTTGAAAATAAACAGAAAATAGAAACAAATGCACAAGGAGGTATAGAATTCTTAGACTTTAAAATAACTGTAATTAATAGTTTAAAGAAAGTAGATGAAAACAGATAATTTTATACTAGAATCTATTTTTAAAAAATCAAATAGAAATTATGAAACTGAAAAATAAAAATAAATAACTAAAAGGGACTAATAGGAGATTAGATATAGAATGTGATTAGATACAGAATATGGTTATCTCCTATATTGATTTTATTAATATATAGTCCTAATATATGATACTATAACCATCTCATTATAATTAAGAGAAGGGACATTTAAAACCAGAGTGTATTAGAGTGTCAGGGGAGAGGAGTGCATTTGTCCACAGCCTCACTTTTTACTTTCAGCATAATCTCCAAAAGCAAACCAACCAACAAAGAAAAATAAGTCAATAGAAAAGTGTAGATTGAAGATCACAGATGAAATAAAAAGGAAAAAAATTATATAAAATCATATGAAGGACATAAAAGACACAGAAAAAGCCTAGCATGCTTATAATTGCTTCCCTAGAAGAGGAGAAGAAAAAGAAATTGGAAGAAGCAGTAAAGAGGAAATAAATGAAAAAGTTCCATCACTAAAAAGTGTTATGACCCAAGAAACACTAAGAATCTCAAACAGTATAGAAGCAAAAAACATCTACACCTGTTTACACTATATCAAAGTGGCCAAAAGCCAAAAATGAAAAAAATAATAATAATAAATGAATTTGAAGGGGCAGAGAACTTTTAAATGAGTAACAGCAAGAGTGGAAACAAACTTCTTTTTAATTTTAATAATTTTTATTTTTTTAGACAAATGGAGCACAGCTTTTCATTTCTCTGGTTGTACATGATGTAGAGTTATACCATTCATAGGGTTAATAATGTTCATATCATTCTACCACCCCCCCCACTCTCTAACCCCCCTTCCTCTCCCTCCAGTCCCTCCCCTCTGCTCAATCCAAAGTTCCTCCCTTCTTCCCTTGCCCCCTCCCATTATGGATCAGCATCCATTTATCAGAGAAAACATTTGGCCTTTGGCTTTTGGGGATTGGCTTCCTTCACTTAGCATGATATTCTCTAATTCCGTCCATTTACCCATAAATGCCATAATTTCATTCTTCTTTAAGGATGAGTAGTATTCCATTGTATATGTATACCACAGCTTCTTTATCCATTCATCTATTGAAAGGAAACAGATTTCTTAGCAAATAACAATGGAGCCTGAAGGAAATGGAATGGCAACTTCCAAAATTATGAAAAAAGGAACTGCCAATTTACAGGTACTTTATCCAGTGAAAATATCTAGTATCTTGAAAACAAAATAATAATAAATATTTTCAAACGAATCAAAATAATATTTTACATGCTGCAGACCAAGCTAAGTCAAATGCTAAAAGGAGAAATTCAGAAAGAGCAAGCGGCATCCAAGATGGAAGCCAGAAGTACATATAAAACGGAACAGCAACCAGTGTGTGGTAAACCAAAATAAGTACTGAATATGTAAGATAGTCATAGCAATAATGCCTGACAGGGTTCCAAATATAGGTAGAACAATGGCACTAATAACAAAAAGCATGAAAGAATTAAATTTAATTCAGTATTCTAAAATCCCTGCATCTTCTTGGAGGTGTTAAAAGTACTAATTTATATTGGACTTTAATTGTCAAGAATGTTCATTCTAATATCTGGGCTAGTCACAAAAAGAATAACAAGACAGCATATAATTAACAAGACAAAGTAGGAAAAAATGAAAATGTTAATACCAAAAAAATGCCAAAACGTAAGAAGAAAATATATATAAAATGGCTAGACCAGAAGAAATAAGAAAGTTTTCAAAAATATTGAAACAAAAGAATGAAAAATAAATATAATGAAAAAATTTACTTAAAAAGACATGTAGAAAAATACATGTTTATTTGAGTATATGTGCATGTTTAGGTACACATGTACATATGTGGGTGTATCAGATAAATTAGACTTGAGGACAAAAATTTAATGTTTTAAATAGTCATATAGGGGCTATACAGGGGAAAAAGATAAAGGGAGAGAAGGCAAGGAGAAAGAAAAGGAAAATGTAATGGTTTGGATCTGGAATATCCACTAAAGTGGCATGGGTTAAAAGCATGTTCTCATCAGTGGATTAATCCATTTGATAGATTAGTTCATTGATAACTGAATAGACTCTGGGAGGTGGGACCTAGTTGGAGGAATAGGTCATTGGTGGCATGTCCTGGAAGGGTTTTTATCTTCTCTCTCTCTCTCTCTCTCTCTCTCTCTCTCTCTCTC